CCCTCGTTAACTTTGCATCAATTTCTTCAGCCTTCAAACGGCGTGCGAGCTGCGCCAGCGTCTCGCCTTCTTCCCCTTCATCATCACCATCAGGGTCCGCATTGCCAGGGCCATTACTACCATCAGCTTCAAGTATCCCGCTGCCACGGAAACCATTCCGCCCACCTCCACCACAAAGAGGTTCACCGCGAATCCTCGCCCTCCTCCGACTAAGCGGCTCATTCTCCTCCAACTCCAGCTTCTCCATAAGACCCATAGGCCTACTCTCATCGTTCAGCAGATTCTTTGGATAGAGCACAGCGAGCGGGACATTCTCGTCTTCCGGTTTGTTACGCTCTGCAATCCCCGGGTCTTCCCAGGCGAGCGTGATATGCCGCTGATTACGCGTCATGCGCTGGTGCTGCGCGACGGCGTCGAGTTCGAGTAGAGTCGAGTGCATGCCGTTGGGGAAGGCGGTGGCTGCGGTGCGGCTTCGCTGTTTTTGCTCTTGTTTGCGCATTTGGAGCTCGGCGAGGAGGGTTGTTGGGGCTCCGACGTAGGTTTCCTCAAGGTCGGACTCGTCATCGGAATCCTCGTCCTCATCCTCGCCTTCTTTTTCACCTTCCCTTAAACTCTCGTCTTCCTCATTACGGCCCTCATTCCACTCACCGTCATCCTCGTCGTCTCTCCGATCGGCATCGTTATGAAGATTACTAGCCAACTGTTCCCGACCCGTTGCATCCCCATCATACGATTCTCGGAACGGCGTCACCTCGTCGCTACCCTCAGCAGCATGACCCTCAGTCTCAATACTTCTTTCTTGCGGTCCAAGGCCTCCTTCGCTTTGAAGCGCGACTACGCTGTCTCGGACGCTTAGAGACTTGCGAGAAATATGCTTGCCCTTTTTCTCCGCCTTAGGCTTAGAAACCTTCTTTAATCTCCGTTTCCCGCTCGGTTTCCCATAGACCTCCGCACCAACATGTCCTACAATCGGGTGATCCGTAAATGCGCTAACCGGTGCCTTTGCAGCGGCATCCAAAATGCTATCAAGTGTAGCAACCGCCGAATTCTGCTTGATTTGAATATCTAGCTGGGCGGGAGGTTGTTCAAAGAAAGCGCTCGCACGTAATTGAGGGGGTAATTCCGATAATCTCTTAGCCTGCCGTGCATCCCCCTTCGCTTCCTTGTCATTATCGTCTGGAGGTGGTAACCAAGCTGCTACTTTCCGTGAGTCTGCTGAGAGGGAATTGATGATCTGCGAACGGTGTTTTTCGTACTGTGGATTGGGCTTTTTCGATAGTCGTTGCGGTAGGTTAAGTACCATTGGAACGGGCGCGGGGTAATATACCATTTTCTGGACTGGAGGGGGGACGTTTAACGGATGTGGCTCTTTGGTAAGAGGTAGTTTGGTCGACGATACCCGCTGGTGCGGGGGCCGTTCCCTTAGGTGCGGCGTGAAATGCACGCCATCGAAGTCTTTAAATAACGTAGATTCCTTGTAGGTATCCGTTGAATCAGCAGAGTCCGGGCACTCTTCTGGAATATCATCGTAGGCTGTCGAACTTGGGTCGGAGAGAGGAAGTTGCGGGTGTTGCTCATCGAAGAAACTGCGCTGAAGGATATCGGGAGGAGGCAGGAGAGGGGCCTTGGCCGGAATCTGCTGAAATTGCGCAGGCTGGTCCTCGATTACAGGTTCGGGGACCTGGGCTAGCCGAGAAGCACCTGAGGCGGATCGAACGCGCGATGCGGAGCCCGCAATGCTATGTGAGGAAGAGCCAGACATGATAGAACCCCTTGGAGACGTGACGTACGCTTCCGGGGAGTATCCGGTAGATCTTGCGGTATTATTTACACTGACTATTGAGTTTGACAGGGACGGTGAAGAATAATTCCGGACGGGAGAGGCTGGGCCACGCGGGTTCACAGCACTGCAGCCGGGAGAGCTCACAGACCGCCTTTTCTGTTCTAGGTTCAATTTCCGCAATTCCCCCTTGATGTCCGAGGTACTGCTCAGTGTCTCTGCAGACCTCTCCAGCCGTTCCACGTTGCCCACGTACGCGCCCTGTAGCGATTGCAGGTCCGGAGTTGGATGGCGCAGGGGAACAGGACGCCCAGATACAGAAGACTGGATTATAGGCTCATCTGGATCTGGAGACCCAGGACTGGCGGTAGTTTTACTGCAGCGACTGGAGGAGATACCATTCGTGTTGTTGTTGTTGTTGTTGTTGTTGTTGTTGTTGTTGTTGCTCTTGAGATGGTTTTGCGAGGAGGGAGGAAGCGAATCAATAGGGGCGGGGGAATTCTCGAGATCTGCAGCGGCTGTGTAGTCATCGTCTTCTAACATGTCATAGCTGGCCGAAGTGGCCGCTAAGGATTTGATCACCGAGCTGAGTGAGGTTGGGCTGGCCTCATCACCCATGTTTGCGGGACTCATAAACGCTCCTCCGCCCAGGTTGTGGACATCCAGAGAGATTTTCCGGAATGACAGGTTGCTCGACTGGGGAAGAGGGGACTCTGATCTATCCGAGGCTGAGGCATTGGAGGCCACTTCTTCGTCGTCGCGGTCGTCGGACTGGGAGAGGGCGTTATACATTTTCATAGTGGTGGTTGATGGGAAAGGGAACAGGCACGGGAGCCCCATGCAAAGAACAACCAAGAAGTGGGGGATGGATCGGGTGTACGGATTAGTTCACAGCTAAGAGTCAGGAGTTGGATGTGGCGTATTCATCGACACGAAAGACGGATAAAATAGTAAGTCACTGATACATGATAACTAAGCTGATATTAGAGGGACTGTTGTTAAGCACAGAGGAGTTTGTCTGTGTGGATTTCAAGAGAGGTTGAAGTTGAAGATGGTAGAAGCTTAGCGAATCCGCGAGAGACGAACGGGACAACCCTGTGAGGAGAAAGTAACGATGAGTAAGGCAATATTCGACTGCGATGTTTTAAACTAGTTACAGTATAGAGTGAAACAAAGAGATGATGCTCTCGTTCCAGAAATATAAATAGAACGCTTGGACATTCCTGTTTTCTCGGGCAACTCCATTCTCTGGAGTCATTCTTACTGGCAGTGCCTATTAGTTATTATTATTATTATTATTAGCAGTGCCTAACTTAACCATGTGGAGGTTTTGACCGAGTTAAAAAAGAGCAACAAGTGAGCCTAGACACAACAACAATATCCGACTGAGACACGGCGATAGGTACCACCCTTGGGTTTGATATGCGTTAGCTTTACTTATATAATAAGGTCTAAATGGTTTGGTTCACCAAGTGGGTTAATGCGGGTGGAGCAGAACAGTGAGGGGGCAAGCCGGAGAGAGCCCTCCAGACCCCGTCGATCACCCCAAAGTCAGATTACGCTGTTTATATACGTATTTGTTTGTTTGTTTGTTTATTTCCTGTTGATATGATTACCCGCCTGTTGTTAACTTAACTATCTATTGGATAGTTAACTAACCGATTCCGAGATCATTAGTTGGTTGCTATTAGCTACGTCGGTAACTACTCCGTACAGTCTACGAACTGCCCCAGGGCTGTGTTTCAATCTCCACCGCATCTCTTGCATTGACCCGGCTGTCATCGTGTGTCCTTGGACTGTCCAACTCTCTCTGTCCCTGTCCCTGTCTCTGTCCCTGTCTCTGTCCCTGTCTCTGTCCCTGTCTCTGTCCCTGTCTCCGTCCCTGTTCCTGTCCCTGTTCCTGTTCCTGTTCCTGTTCCTGTCCCTGTCCCTGTCCCGGGCTGTCATATCATCACTATGTACGGAGTTGGTACCATAATATCACCCTCAGCCTGTTTCTGCCGCTTGGCCCCGCACCCATTAACGTTCGTGGTTGTTTATTATTTTACCTTACTAAAGTTACTCCGCACATCCCGTGTTTCATCCCATGATCCGTCCATCCCGTCCGACAATATCATCATCATCATCATCATTTCAGTTGAAAAGCCAGCGCCCGTGTAATTATAAAAGGCCCCTTTGGTCCCCTCCAGAAAATTCAAATATCAACAAAAGGTTTGCGGTTGGGAAGAAGGGAGTTGTGGGTGGGTTTCACGATTTCCTACCAACCATCCCAGCTCATCTAACTACGGAGTCTAACTGTGTTTGTTTTACCTATTCCTCAAGCGGCAAACAGAAAGTGGGACGGTGCGTGGCACGCCGCGATACTTCGTGACACAAATAGCTACAAAGGGGTTGGATAATATGCAATAATCACAATAGTTTGTTAATTTAAGTAGTTGGTTGGGCCCTTGGTAGTTTATCGAGTGCAGGTGACTAGTAAGAAGTTCTCGAGAGGCGTTGGCACGCATCGTGCCTCTGTGCTACGGAGACGGGATTTATTATATGCTTTTCGTTTCAACCTTGCTCAACCCTGGAGTTGGTAATGAGGGATAACAGGTCAGGTAATTGTGCCATAAGTACCCTAATAACTAACTGAGCGCAGCAATATGATTAAGAACGTGAACATACCTGCATCGACTGATGCATAATCCGAGGGAAACCATATGAGAAAGAATGCGCGAAAGAGAGAGAGAGAGAGAGAGAGAGAGAGAGAGAAAAGAAAGCCCCTACCTCATCTCATCTGCATAAATATGCATGGATGCAGTGGAGCCTCCTTATGTGTATTTTGCGATCCATTCCTGTAAGATGAGACGATGTCAAAAGTGAGTTAACTACGCCTGGATCATGATGGAGATATTTAGTGTGGCACCACATATATATGTGCTTTTCGAGGAAATGGGTGTAGACATATGGTGTTCAGGAACTTGAATATGCCAGAACTTCAAGCCAACATTCATCAAGAAACTAAACATACCCATTCTTATTACATTCAAACAACCCTATCCGTTAACTCTCCGTTAATGTTCAGGCAATCGAGCTGAATCTTATCACCACGTGATCCTTATCAGGTCGTGGCCATCAACGAAAAGAAACAACCGCTTGATGTTGTAGTAGTGCAGCAGCAGCAGCAGCAAACGAACGGCAGCAAACGAACGACAGCAACATAGACTTTCTACGAATAATGTCATATTACGACATAGACGCCATTCTCACCGATGCGCAGGTTCGTAAAAAGGCGCTGTTTGTGATCCTATCATTCAGGTGATCGATTGAATTTCTCCACTAACATTGAAAGGCAATTTGCGTTGCCCACGTCTAACAGAAACTACCGTGTACATTCGAGCTCGCGGTGCCTGGGCTGGGTTATCTCGACGGCAATGCCGGGGAAGATGTACTTTGCCTGACCATTGCGTCCCTATATCTCTCCATACCCAATCATCCATCCCACTAACCAATCCACCAGATAAAGCCAGGCACCCGGATCGACCTCCCCCTCTGGCTCGGCGAGATGCTTGCGGTCGGGTACGTCCCAAAAAAAAAAAAAAATAAATAAATAAATAAATAATTCACCCCTCATCATCCCATCTCCCACCCACCATGCCCAATGCCGACTAACGAATCAACCACCCAGCGCCCGCGCCGACTCATCCCCCCTCGTCACCCTCGACCTCTCCACCGCACTGTCGGAACAAGTCCTCAACGCCCTAAAAGCCAATCCGGGCACGGTAGACCTGCGCTCGCTGGCGCCGCACTTCTATAGCCTTGCCGTGCGCATTTTGCAACTGTTCGAGGAGGAGGAGATGGTTGATGTGCTTATGGAGGTGAGTAGTTGTTGGACAAGAAGCTTCTAAAAAAAAAAAAAAAAAAAAAAAGGGTAGGGTGAAGTGGTTTCGCTGATGGTTATGGATTCTGATAGGCGTTTAAGAAGCGCTCGATGGAGATTGCGGATCATGCGTATAACTCGCAAGGGGCGCTGGGGGATGGGGTTGAGTTTTTGAGGGGGTTGGATGAGACGGAGAGGAGGTGTGAGTTATCCCTTGATTGTTCTTGTTGTTCTTATGGCTTTGTTGTCATGCTGTTTGTTCTATTGATGCTGACGATTGTTTGATACAACATCGATAGTGTTTCGAATTGCGCATAGCAGCGCGAAGGAGATGCGTGTTTGGTCCGGGGAGACGAAGAAGTAGGGAGCACCGATATACGATATATCATGAGGGATATCTATATTATCTACATTATATATATACATATATTGATGAATGGGATTGGAGCATTGGGAATTGGAACTGGAACAGTGAGGATGTGATGGGAGTCTTTCTTTTCGGGTTGCGAGTGATATCCGTAGCTACAGGGCATTCATTTCTTCGTTCTGGCGTGCTTGGATTGGAAATGAATAATAGCTGGGAATCTTTATTGTTACGATCGTACATGATTAACTTTTCCTTCTCCAACAACTGCAACAATGGTTTAAAATGTAAAAAGGTGAATGGTAAAAAGCAAAATATCGGATTAAAGAGTCCAGTGGGATGGATATACATGGTAACTCGGGCGGGCCGCGACGGGGTAACCCAGAACTTTATTTCAACTGGACTGCGACCCTACGATTTCGATATATTTGGATGCATTGGTATGAGGTGTTGGTTAGTTGATTAATTAAATAGTAAAATTGGATAAATAACCTGGCTCTGTATTGGAGCTGTTCGTACATGCCAAGGTACTGGAATACGCATACAATTCTCTGTATAATCACTTGTACCTTCAATTCTCAGTTGCCTCTTCTCTTCGTAGGCACTCGTCTGCTTCCTTAACTAGCCAGGCCCACCCGTTCGGCTTCCCATATAGCCAACTCTACGGGACGTTGCTGTTGACCTGCCGTCCCGGCGCCGCCTCGTTGCAGTATAGTTGGGTTGAAGGGAGATTGTGCAATCTTGCATGGAAGAGATTGTAGTGAATCAAAAGGTATGGTTTGTTTGTAAACTTTCCAGGGTTATTTCCTCCAGCTTCCGCTCTTTATATATTAAGAATATATATATATATATTTCATTGCCCATACAGATAGAAGTATCCCGAATAAGCGTCGAAAAGCCTGAAGGAGACAGTGCAGAATTTAGTCAGTGGTTGGGGTTCAACAGCAGAAACATGGTGTGGTATCAGCACTCAGGAAATTCCAATCTCTCCACTTCTTTCTCCCCCGCCCCCTGAAATCATGAAAATGCCAGATGGAGACGTTAAAATAGTTTAGAAATTGGCGCTGTGGCGGTGCGGATGGGAAATTTAACGAGTGCTCGGGGGGCGGCTGGCTGGGCTGAAACGGGGTTTGCGCCTGCGGGGAGGGCTCAGACGAAGGGAACTGGATAAATCCTCCGATTGGGAGGGCAATAGGGGCAAATGCTGCTGAGGTCTAACCAACTAACTAAATCTGGACAAGAGGCATCCTGGCATCCCATGGGCCATTGCTAGGTAGTTATGTTACGAAGGAGGTGATCAAGAATGTCGAGAGTGACTTGACTGGGATCCTGCGTGGAAGGGATAGCTTCGTATGGTCTATGGTTTATGCATGGTTTATGCCTTAGTTCAGGGCAGAGAATAAATATATGGATGGATCTTGCATTTAAGGGGTCGGGTCTGTCTTTACAGACTTTGTCTTTTTGGCTTTTGTGGGGTTTGAGTTTGAAACCTGCGTCGGTTGACTTGGCTCCACTGTGCAAGGGAACTACTAGTTACTGCGGGAGTTGGGTGAGAGACGTGATAGCGCTGTGTCTTCCCAATCTTCCTGCCATGCTCCTCAAATGTCTTCTGCTTTGGTTGAAGGGGGGCGGGTTGGATGCAGAAAGCTCAGTTGCGAACATTGAGGGGTTGGGGGCAACTAACTAGTTCTTTTAAAACTCAAGACAGGAGAGGACGAAAAGGGATGTTCAATTGAACTGAAGGATATCCCCTGTTCTTTGGATATGGAAATGCTTCCTATGCCATCCATGTAACAGGTCGGTAGCTGGGTCTTTCTGTGGGATGTTTCACCAGCCACCGCTAAAGAAATCTGAGCAGCAAAAGCGCAAGCTCATTCCACTCTCACACACATTCGTTTTCTTCGAACCTCTCACATCCCCCTGATAATACATAACCACTCGCAATTCACCATCTCCAACTTCAAGCTTTAACTTCAAGTCTCCTCTCTCGTTTCTTTGGTGCACAGCTGCTGCTGCTGCTGCTGCTAGCCATCTCGATCTCGATCTCGATCTCGATCTTCCACTCTCTTGGTCGAGGGCCCCCTGGCACTTCCAGTCCCAATTGCTTTCCGCTTCCCCTCTCCACTCTCCGGTCTCCTACATACCCACACTTCCACCACTACCACTCTCTAACCCAGTCACCCTTCTTTCACTTATACAATTCACTCATATTCATTTACCCCCTATCACTATTCAATTCCTACATTCGCTTATCCGGAAGCGGCAGGACTCTGCGCTCTGCCTGCCCGCCCCGCCGGTGAGATGACCCTCGATTCCCCAGCGCTGTAAACTGCCGCTACCATCGCTCCACCGCTCCATCGTCGCCCCGGCAAGCTCCCGATATCAACAACAAACTCTGTTGGTGTTTACATCCAAATACATATATATCCATCACACAAATCACGTCGCGTATATACCTAGGTATATACTTATTTATGGATACCCTCCCTTCTTAATTGATCTCCCCCTCGTTGCATTTCGGTCTACTTTATTAGAACCGGCAACTGTCTGTGTCTGCCAAACCATGGATTCCCATAACTACAGACATCGCTTGGCCAATGATGGCCCCGCATCTTCTCCTACTGTTGGTGCTGCTGCTCGTTCTCGGAAACAGTTTTCGGGTCAGCCAATCCATATCTATATCTATATCTGTAGATATTGATATACACCTCTTCTGGATCGTTGTTAATTTCTCTCTCAAGGACTGACACTTTGATAGCTGAACCCTCGACCCCGGATCATTCACATCCCTCCCAGTCCAATGCGCAGAGAAGAAATATGAAGAATTCTACTACAAGAATCAACACGGGTATATGCCTATTTCCTGCTTCTTTACCTCTTCGAAATAATTTATGAAAATATAATTCTGACTTAGTGAGACGTCTAGATACTTCCAGAGTCTCAGCCAGCCCAACCTCTGCACGGGCCGACACCCCACAACGTAAGTTTCTAGCCAACTAAACAGCCACCCCTACTGATTGACGGTACAATCTACAAAAGCGATTCCTACTAAGATAATATAAAATCTATTAGGAAACAATGATTCTACCGGATCAACCCCACTTGTTAACCCCTCTTCCTCGCTTCTTCAAGGCCTGATTAATGACCAGCGTGCCAGTCGTGGTGGCCGGAGAGCTGCATCAGAGCATGTTTCCGAAAGCCAAGTGCAGACGCCCGCTACAGTTCCATCTCAAGCGGATTCATCATCTGAGAAACAGCGGAAAGTCAGCAATGTCTTATCCGCTGGCCTGAAACAACCCAGAGAGATGGGATTGAGAGAAACGGATCAGGTAAGAGTTTTATCCCTCGAGACATACATATCCCTAGTTATTATGTTATGTGTGCAGTACTGAATATTTCTCAAGTACGTCTCCAAGCTGAACAAGTTAAATTTCGATCTCAAATTGGAAATCTACCATCGAACCCAGCAACTTGTATCCTTGGAGAAGAAGCTAGAGCGTATGGAAGCACTGGAAGAGGAAGTACGGAGATTACAGGGCGTGGAAGATCAATTTCACGAATTGCACGAGGTGGAAGAGACGAACCAGAGATTGCGCCACTCAAATGAGCATTTGCGCATGGAACTGGACAAACGAGACCAGGCCGTTAATGAAGCTGTGGAGCTGATCTGCCAGTTGGAAGCAAAGATAGAGACCCTGGAGCCGGCCGACGATGCCAACAACCAGCTGTTAACCGCCCGCCCTCATACCAGTGAAGGCCTGGCAGTATCTCCCGCAATAACCCCGAAAAGTACATTGATCTTTGACATTCCTGATCGCACTTCATCATGGAAAGGCACTAGCTCCGCTCGTTCTCTAAGATCCCGGGTGGAAACAACAAGTTCATCAGCGCACAGACCCCGACGACACCCGTCCTTCCTTCGCGAGAGTAGTGGGAGCACGAGCGCTCTCCGCAGTCTTTATATTACGGAAGGGGATGTGTCGCGCAATGGATTCAGTTCTGCGTCGAGGGCTGGAAGTATCCTCTCTGGAGATGAGCTGCCGGAACCTGAATCACCTAGACTAAGCATCCTCAGTGAATGCAGCTACCTGAACCCCTCAGCCACTCAGTCAAAGCTGTTTGTTGCTGACATGGCAAGCATTGGACCGCCTGCAAGGAGTTTTACGCAGCCTATTTCTAAACTGGAGCTGTCTCCAAAGGAGACAGGGGAGGAACAAAATAAGAATAGTAAATTGTCGCGAATCGACCAGTGGATTCAGCCTCAGGAAAACCTGCTCATCTCTGCATTGGGGCCCAAGAGACCCAGCTATACAGCTGCCAATAATACTTCAAGTGCCGCTTCATCAAAGAAGCAGCCATTCCTCGGAACTGCTTTCCAAGCAAAGCGCCTAGTCAAGGCGTATAAATTCGACACCCCAGTCTTGGACGGCCCGATATTTAACGGCACCAGATTGCCTCCTACGCCTGACACAATGAGCACGTCGAACGCAGATGCCAGGAACGGGTCTAACTCTAGCATCATTGCGGAAAAGAGTTTGCTTGACCAGGGTCCCTTGTTGGCTAACTTTTCATCAATTGGTCATGCGGGCTTGCGAAGGCCACGATCTGCGGATGATATCACCACGAGGCCCAGTACGGCTACCACGGCATTATCGGGAAGGATGGAGACGTTAAGCAATGCGACACGGCTTGGCAATAACCCGAGCCGCGATCAACTTGCGAGTATGTTCCCGGCCTATGGGCATGGTGCGGGGGAATCGGATCCTTCGAGGCTTTTTGTTCATGGAAATTTAGGAGGTGGGGGTTATGAGTATGCTAGTCGCAAGCACAAAGACGGGAATGTCACTAAAGTTGGAGATGATGGTGGCGCCTCACCAGCAAAACGGAATAGATACCCTATCTCAATGAAATCGACACATTCCAAACCACGATGTGCTGATGGGCATGATGACGATGAGGGTGATGACGATGATAATAATTATGGCGCGAGTTCACCACTGCTAACTCCGCAGGATTGGCTGGAGGCGGCACGACCAGCTGCTCATGGCGGGAAATGTCGTATACATGCAAACAAAAGACACTCTCTCCAGATGGACGGGATGGACACCAGCCAGCACACGTTGAAGCTTTCATCTGATGATCCTGACGATGACAGTGACAATGACGAAAACGAACCACAGCTGCCGACTCTGAAAAGCCTCCGCGTCCGCGTTGGTGAGAGGAATAAAAACACCCCTAACCGGAACCTCCAACAATCCCAACCGCAACCGCCACCACAACCACCACAAAACCTCAACCTACCCCCCCGTCGCCGCCTGAGTCTCCGTCCCCGCTTCTTCAGCCGCACGATCGCCGCATCCCAACGAGGAAACACACCCACCTCATCCGATGCCATTGGCGAAAAAGCCGGCGCCCCATTCCCCCAGATCGGGAGAAGGAGACGCATGAGCACCAGTCGTCAGACAAGCATTAATGTGGATTTCCCCGTTCTGCCACTGTCACTAGGCAGAGCTGCGTCGAGCCTGGGGCATAATGGCAGCAGTAAATAATGATACCGAGACCGGGGCCTCTGCGTCTATGGCATCACGTAACGAGGCGGGCGCAAGTGGGATTGGTGGTCGTCTGTACACCTCCTCATCGACACCAGAAGCACCTAGTGAGCCTACGAAACGACGCCCGACGTCCTTGGGCTTGTTTGGGTGGATGACTGGGAGAGGTGGGACTGCCACTGCCGCTGCTGGCTCCACCGATTCCACCTTTTTACACAATAACATGCCCGTACGAGATTCGCCAACCCCCACGCAGCAGACGTTGAGACAAGCGCAGATGCCCACGCCGACACCGCCCGCAACAGCAAGCAGCGCCTTGAAGCATAGGCGGAACAGAAGCCTGAATCAAAACCAGAAACCTGCAAAGTCTCCTGGCTGCACTGTCTCTGTGACGACTTACCCGGCCAGTGGTGGCGTTGAACTATACGATGTCGCGTCGTTAAAGGATCCGGCCATTGTATCTGTGCAGGATGACAGTGTGATGGAGCAGAGGCCCTCGAGGTTTTCGCATCGTCGGGCGTTGCGGAAGGTGTGATTATTTCCCCCAGTTCTGCGACCTTTGCCGCTGGGTGGAAGGGAGCTGAATGCAGTCAACTGATAATTTTTTCTTGTTATTTTTATTTTCCTTTATTTTTTTTTTTCGGGTAGTGGTGGTGGCGGCGTTCTTCTTTCTTCTCTTCTTTCTTTTGTAACACCATGGTCATCGATTTCTTTTATGGCTGTTAAAGCTTCAAGGCTGTTCTGTTAAACCCCCTTCCATCCAAACCCACGGGTTAATGGAATTTTATGTACATGTACTTTTCACGCAATCCAGGACAAAACTCGAAACGGTTCACGACAAGATCGTTTATGCGTTATGCTTCATTTTATTTTATGGCTACTGACACCTCTCCTTCTTGCTCGCCTTTCTTCATCGTCACGTCATGCTTTTTTATAACAATGTTAGATGATTAGCTGACTACTACAATACGTTGGGGGAAATCTGGCAAAGCTCTATTTTTTCATTGTCACTTTTCCGGCTTGTTTGACGTTTTTTATTCATTTACTTTTTTTTATTATTATTAATGGCAGGATATGGACGTGTTCAAGGAAGAAAAAGTAATTTGAAATCGAGGGCGTTTTGTTACCAAAGAGAATGAAAATGCTTGTGTTTTTGATTGTTTTATTGCTTGTTTACCTGCCTGCGTGGATTGCAATGGTGTTGCATTTCGTTTGCTCATTTGTTTTCGTTTTTGCGTTATCAATTCAATTACTCTTTTGTCACTGAGTGGACTGCTATTCGAGTAATGAGACACGTCGTAAAATGGAATAATAATATATTTGTTTAAAATCGAGTTCCTCTTTTTTATGGACACTTTTCTTTCTTTTAACAAGGTCCATCTGGCCTTCAGAGGCAAAAGAAAGGGTGCAGGAGTTTTCATCTTGTATAAATATAGATACGTATGCATATATCCTTAACTATGAAAGAAACCCCTCAGCCCTGGAGAAGAGTGCTTGCAGGCGTTGGAGAGAAAATGAACATTATACACAGTTGTTTAGCAATTATTGCAGAAGTAAGGGGTATTATGTGGGGAGGCGTGGGTAACTGCTGTGAGCTAAAGATATGGACACATTTGCGTGCAATTCGTTCGTTCGCACATTTAACTGGAAGGGTTAGGGGGCGGTTCGATAGAGTGGTAGTATTCTCGCTTAAGCAAATCGCTTCTCAGCAGCCTTCCAGTTCACCACGTTCCAGATGGCAATGAAGTACTCTGCTTTGCGGTTTTCGTATTGGAGACTGGATAGTGTTTTGGTTAGTCTTCCATATTGGGGAAGGTGAGTGAAGCGAAACTAACTAGTAGGCATGTTCCCAAGCATCAATGCCCAAGAGGGGCTTGAATTGACCAATGACGGGGTCTTGGTTCTATGCATTGAATGGAAGCAATTCGTTAGCAAAGGCCCATAATTTAAAATGTTCCTATGAATAAATACATGGCGTTTACTTACAGCATAAGTCTTAATTGCAATCTTCCCAGTCTGCTTATCTTCAACCAACCACGCCCACCCGCTCCCCTGGATACCCGCCAGCGCGGTGTTAAACGTAGACTTGAATCTATCATAGCTGCCGAAGGCATCATCAATGGCCTTGCCCAGAGAACCGGCAGGCGGCTCGCCGCCTCCAGCGCTCTTGGGAGCCAAGTTCTCCCAGAAGAGGGTGTGATTGACGTGGCCACCGCCATGGAAATTGGTCAGGCCCTGGAAAGCCACCTGGGATTTGATATCGGCCTTCTCCTGCGCGGCGGCCAGCTTCTCGACGGCATCATTGTAGGAGTTTACGTAGGTTTGGTGGTGCTTTTTGTGGTGGAGTTCCATGATTTTGCCAGAGATGGAGGGTTCGAGGGCACCGTAGTCGTCTAGGTTTGAGTTTTAGAAGAGATGGACGAATGTATATAATGTTTTGGAATATGTTTATTCTTATACTTTTGATGGACATGACTTACATGATAAGTCAGGGAGGGTCGCTTTAGTCGTGATCAAGCGGGCTCCTGCAGCCCCTGACATTCTAGCAGCACGAACTCTAAGGATGCCGCCGACAGTTGACCGGAAAAGAGAGGTGGTCATGGCTAATAGGTTGGTGATACTTGGATGTCCGGAGAGAATACGAGAGACGGATCAATTCGCAGATAAGAGGAAGAGAAGAAGTTGATTAGGGTATAGAAGACGTGACAATACATGCACGAAATATAAGAGCAGACGATTGTTAGTTACTCTTACACAGTTCTTCTATTGCGTGTTTTTGTTGGTTGACGTCGAACTTCCGCAAAGTTTCCAGAATTTCCCGCGGCATAATTGGCTTAGTCAGCGGTTACGTCATAGTTAACTAGCCGGTTAAAAAACTAGAAACACATGACTCAGCCATTATTCGGCGTCGGAACTATCTTTTCCCCGAGATAGTTGCTTCTTCGGCTGTTTGACACCTTGAAGAGCGACAACGAGAGAACTGGTAAAGACAGCAAACACAAAGGGCTGAAAGGATGCTAGATATTGTTATTTGGGCATCTGGTTCTTTAGTTCGCTCCATGTTTATGTCTAATACTAGCTATCAAAAGAATAAATCTGATTAAATAAAATCTCGGATTGTATCATCCTACCATTTCCTATACCTCTCCGTCCGCTGTCATGCCCATGGAGTGGTTACCCCGAACTTCCTTTGCTGGCCAGAAGCGCAAGATCAACGATATTAGATCCCATGATGATGATGATGATGAGGAGGAGGAGGAGGGTGAAGCAGATTTGAAACCAACGCACAGTGTTCGAGGATTTGCTCCAGCAAAAACCGGCTCACCCTCCCCCCAACCTTCCACGAACATGAGATCTACGAATCCCCCATCATGGACGAACGGCAATTCCACCCCGAAGGGACAGAACCGGGCGGGGAAAACCGGGTTTGCTGGGGGCGTGAACACGTTTGCTGCCCGAATGATGGCCAAGATGGGCTACAAGGAGGGTCAAGGATTGGGCGCTGGTGGCCAGGGAATTCTGAAACCGATTGAGACCGTGCTACGACCTCAGGGAATTGGCTTGGGCGCTGTGAAGGAGAAATCTAAACAGGCAAAAGACGAAGCGAAGCGCGAAGCCGCCAGGAGAGGAGAGATATTGGAAGACAGTTCGGATGAGGAGCGAAACCTAAGACGGCGGCGGAAGGAGAAACAGAAGGAGAGTAGGAGTGGAACAAGTACCCCGAAGGGTCCTGCGAAGCCGAAGTTTAGGACTGCGCGCGAGATTGAGATGGATGCAGCTGGATTGGAGGTCCCTAATATCCTGAAATCGTTGATCGATGCGACGGGGAAGGAACAGAAACTGTTAACGTCTACAGCTGGTTTGATGACGCCGCTGGAGTTTGTGAGCGCTGATGAAAGTGAGGCTCTAAAGATAGCCCGGAGAGCAAGGAATGACCTCGAAGCCTTTGCGGATGAATGGAAGGCACTCACAGAAAGGAGAGAGTTTGTGGAGCTTGAGGAAAACCAGGTGGTGGAAGAGATAGATACGCAACAGGACAAGATCGTGCAATTATCTGCATTAACGTCAGCTGTAGAGGCGCTGGGGAATTTCAGTCTTGATGACGGCCTAGTTATAAGATGGGAGCAAGTCACGAAAAGATTGGAGTTGTTGGAAATTCAGTTCGAAAGTTTTGTTGATGAGTATGGACTGTCTGAGGTGGCTGTAGCCGCAATCCACCCTTTATTTAGGGAGTCCATGGAAGAATGGGAGCCGCTGAAGGATCCAGCCTATCTGGTATCCAATCTTCAACGCCTCCGAAGCATCCTATCTCGCAAACCTCGCAACAAGCAGGAGGATGAGGGAAGGCAACGGCATTCAACCACGCCCTACGAAACTATGCTATACACTTTATGGCTTCCACGAGTTCGCTCAGCTATCCTCAATGACTGGGATGTACAGGACCCATCTGCTGCAACGGCACTTATAGATGCATGGAAAGATGTATTACCAGAATTTATTTGCTCGAATGTTCTCGACCAGCTAGTTGCCCCAAAACTCAGCACCGCAATCAAGGAATGGAAACCACGAAGTAATAAGAAACGAAACGGGACAACCTCCCAGTCATCCCAATTTCCGTGGTGGCTATTTGACTGGCTACGATACCTGGACGAACGGCACACAAATCCCAAAGCGCCGACAGGCCTCCTATCCGACGCGAAACGCAAATTCCGTGTTGTGCTAGATACCTGGGACCTGGGTCGGGGACTCCCTGAAGGAATTGAGCTCTGGAAAGAAGCTCTTGGCTCAGAATTTGACATAACATTACGAAATCATCTTCTACCGCGACTAGGCAAACACCTCCGTGAAGAATTTGAAGTGAACCCACGAGATCAAAACCTTGACTCCTTTGAAGATATTCTGAAATGGAAAGATTGCTTCAAACCGACCGTCATTGCTCTGCTTCTTGCTGCTGAATTTTTCCCCAAATGGCATGCTGTGTTACATCTCTGGCTAACCTCAGATCCCAACTATGAAGAAGTCGGCCAATGGTTCTCATGGTGGAAGACACAGATACCCGATGAAATCAATGCAGTTGACGAAGTTACCCAGGAATGGGAACGTGGACTTGAAATGATGAACCTTGCCCTCGACCTGGGTGATAGAGCGAAGACATCGCTACCCCCTCCATCCACAAGTAAGCAGAAACAACAGCAAAGAGGACTGCGAGAGCATATCAAGAACAAGTCATCATCAGCACAAGCACCACCAAATACTTCCAAATCCCTACCAACACCGTCTTCCAAGCGCATCGAGGGACCCACCTTCAAAGACATCGTGGAAGAATGGTGTGCGGATGAGGGGCTTCTCATGATCCCCTTACGTGAAGCGCATGTTCAAAGCGGTCTGCCATTATTTCGCATCACGGCCAGTGCCAATGGGAAGGGCGGAGTACTTATATATCTCAAAGGAGATGTTGTCTGGGCGCAGAACAAAAAGGCAAGAGACGTGTGGGAGCCGCTTGGGTTGGATAATGGTCTTGTAGCTCGCGCAGAGGGCAAGTGATTTGCGCTTTTGAAATCTTTTTCCTTCTTTGATACCACTGGGCTTTTTGGGAAAGGTTGAAGTTTGGTTGTAGTAGAACTTTTATGTCGTTTCACCGATGGGAGATATGTCTACTAATAGACCGTATGATAATATCTATGCAATGTTGACAGCTTCTCGAAAGATTGCTACTTGCTTGGATAACGTAATTCACCATTTGAAATGAGAATTAGGTCTTAATGGCCGTTCTGGCATGTGGTTCACGAAAAAACATCTAATTATTTGCGTCATTTTCTCCGCATTAACCCAATGCTGAGTTGAGGGTCCAAAAATCATTAAACACTTAAAAGTCAGGAAAGGAGGCTGGTGATTCTATCTACGCCAAATTGCGACAACGTGAGGTATTAAAGAAAACACGGGATAACCATGATAATGCATGTTTCACGAAATAGACGAAATAGTAATAAGTAAGAAGGAAAAGAATAATAATAATAACAACTCGCGAAAGGGGTAATTATCTATGCAAATTATTTTCAATGTTTTTCATCACGTTCCTGGGGTTCTCTTTAAGTCTCTCGGTTCTTCCGTTGCTTCCAAAGACTATTTTTATCATGATGTTCGTCCATAGCATCCATATTTCTTTTATCCTTTTGCACTGTATTTCTCATTAAACGCATTTACAGCTAAGAAGGGGAAAGTAAAACTATTAGCAAAGTTGTCCAGAAAACAGGCCGGTCTTGTTGAGTAGCCAAGCTTAGAAAAATAGTGGAGAATTCAAAACATACCAATCGCAATTTGCTTATATAGCCAATTTCTGGCGCTCTCATCCTGGACGGGTATAAATGGACCATTTGCACCACCCTTGAGCGTGATACCCATCCCTGTCCTCTCCTTCGAGATGGTTTGAATATCGGTTAACTTGATATCCCACTCCGTCTTTAACCTTTTAGATCGAATAAGCATAATTCGGTTATACGTTAGCATGATCAACATGTCCTTTCCCGGGAACTCGAGATGCGCAAGATAGTCGTCGTTGAAGTATTTGCCATCATCTGTAGTTTTGAGCCAGAATTGGCCAAGTGCTTCCCGTTGTGAATAAGGCCGGACAATTCCATCCATGCCGATGAATCGGGTAAGCCGGACGCGTTCTAACCCTCCAGAATCAAAAACGGTGGTAGTGTTCCGAACTCCTTCAGCGAGATCTGAAATTAATTTGTTAGTATTAAATAGTTATTAAATAGTTTTGAAAGGTTGTGGAAATTATGAACTCACTGGAGGCAAGATCAAAAGCGCCTAGAGCAGGCTTTGTCGCTAGCCCTAAAACTCCTTTTCCTACTCCTTTTATAAAGCCCTGGAGCCCTTCCTTTTCGGCGCCTTCTAGAGGATGGCGTGCGAGGCCTCCTATACCACTGGCCATACTTTGGGCAAAGGCATTTCCACCAGACGTGACACCGTACAGTGCGTGCTTAGGCCGATTGCGGGCTCGTGCCATTCGTCGTTGATCTTGGAATTCTTTATCGAGGGTAGCGGCCGCCAGGCCTTTTGACAAGCTTCCGGTAAACTTAGCCATGCTATCCGAAAGTCCAAAAACGGACTTTTTGACGAAACTTGTAGCCCCTTTTGCAATTCCAATGCCCAATTCATGTGGTCGATCCGTCATGACAAGTCCCTGATATGGCTCATAGAAGATGTCAACGAAACCTGAGCTGACCGTGTTAAACAGCCCCACAGGATTTCCTAAAAAATCTGCAGAACCAAGGACGACGTGAATTTGGCGGATAAATTCCTGGGTATAGTGGTTTGTGATGCTGGAAAGCAGCGCAGGCATAGATACTCTCGCATTTTCCAGCATCAAAGCGTTTAATCGGACAGGAGCATCATTCACATTACCTATGGACATTGTCATGACATTGACGAAAAACATGAGTGGATTGGATGACTCCATCGTATCCTCCACGTTCACACGTTGGGTGCGCACGAAGGAGAGATCTAACTGCATAGGTTGGAGATGCAGTACTTCAAAATAGACGTCATTGCCATGATCCTCCGCTTGTGGCTCCGGGATATCGAGATCTTCA